ACTGTGCCTCAAATTTCGCTCGCGCGATTCCACTAGTTAAAAACTAAATCAAGATTGAAAGCCAAGTTCTACGATGTATCGAAGCTCGAACAATGTCAGCAGCGTACAGGAATTCAAATCTCTGTTCATTGCCTTTGATATGGCGAAGTAAAGGCTTCCATCGATTTCAAATTCATGAGGTTGAAGACAGTGGGTGATAAGCTAGACAATTGAAGAGAGATACTTCCTGATCATGCGGATTGCCCTCTTCTGGGGCGTAGGAGGTTTCTGACTCTCCAAATGGTCCAAAAGCTCCGTGATACCAGCTTTGAAACTTGTCGGAGAATTGTCCGCGAATTCACCACATTTCTGGGTAGTCTCTTTGAGCGCAGAGAGACATTTGCCATTGCCGACTACTTGGGACATGTTACGCATGTCGGTGAGAAGAATAGACGCTTTTTGAAAAGCATGCTTGGGATCCGGATAGAGGAATGCAAAAGTGGACGCAAACTGGACGGCATAGGCGCAAAATAGAGGACTGTCTTCGCTCTGACCCTCAGTCGCGTGTTTATGGGCGAGGATGGCAAGATTGTCAACGGACCAAATGACTGCAGCGAAATCAGCATGGCATTCTGTTCGATTCATAAGAGATATCGACCTTATCCTCGTAAGCTCTCTGGTATTTGAGTTGGTCCCAGCGGCCGTCTTCGTTGGTGTTATACTTTTTGCCAAAAACTTGAATATAGTGCTGGAGAAGAAGCTGACAAGCTGACGGTCCCTCGAAGAATCGATGTCCATTTGAAGCATGGCGACAATGATATGTCGAAGCTACCCAAGTTGCGACCGAAATGAACTCGTGGAGGTCTCTGCGACCATGGCACATAGCCCGAGAAGCAGCAAGGACCTGTCCTCGGAGACGCTTGAAGATGCATCCTGAAGGATCTCTGTGGCTCTTTTTGGGCTCTTTCCGTCCCATTGGATCTAACAGAGTCGAACCAGCGTGCATCCTGTAGAGTCTCTCAGGCAATGGCCTCCTTAATTTCGGCTACAGTAGCGCTGACAATCATCTAGAGACAGTGTCAGTGACCGAGATGAATTCACAGCAAGCACGATACCTCAGGTGAACCCCACTCCATCAAAGCACCGAAAAGCTTCTTCCTTGCTCGAGACTCTGAAGATTCGAGAACCAACCCATCACTGATAGCTTGAAGAAGCTTGCGAAATGCGATTTGTATATCTCCTTGATTCCAAGGAGCATCGTCGCCAATATTGTCGAGCATTTGCAACCAAATGATGAAATTTTCGTCCTGAAGCTGTTTCACAGCGTACGAGATCCAACCTGAATGAGTTGTGGTGTATACTTCGCTTGTGAATCTCTCGATTGGCTCTGGAACAAGCAGACTGATACGACGAAAAGAAAAGGAAACGTCTCCCAGTTTGATGCTTTGTAGGCGGCTGGGGCGCCGCCGAATGTTGTTTGAAGCAGTGTACTTAACAGCTATCACAGCATTCAGTACAGGCGGAATAGATGAATATAATGCTCACCTCTAGAACCTGCCGAAACATGGTTACATATATCTCATTGAATGAAGAAACTGTTGAGGTGTGCAATCAATTCTGGCTGAAGAGATGCTCGTAACCGCCCTCGGAATCGTGGTGTACACCATGGTCGATGCCAGGAATTTGGCGTAGGCTACGAGATCGCGCTGAATGTCGGGAACGAACTCTGCTGGTTGACCATATTGCAGAAAAGCCTTCAACAGCGCTTTGTGACCACCTTCGAGGAGATCTTATCCTCCAGGAATCTTGCGGCAAAACTTCTCTGCATGTTCCTCGGTGAACAATTCAGCGTCAAGGTGGGATGCAATGTTTTCGTACAGGGTACAAATAGCTTTGGCGGAGAGCTGGTCGTCGAAGCTAAGCGCACGTCTCCAAATTGAAGCCTGGAACAGCTCGGAATCCCAAGTTGCCAGCACCTGAAGAGCGTCAGCCTCAGGATTGATGTCTTCGGAGGAGTTCTGAACATGGTCGAGAAGAATCTCAGACCAGTCGTTGACTTCTTTTGGAGGTTTATCCTGGAAATGCTTCATGATGCTCATACGGAAATGATGAACAAGCCATGCTTGGGGTGAACGAGAGAAGCAAGTCGGGAAGAAAGTCGGAAGGATGGAGGTGACAGTGAAAAAGCATGCTGAAATTCCAACCAGGACGGTTGCACAATGCCTAGCACAATGTCGAGGGTCCAGGCAAGCTCTTAGCTGCACAATCCCTACGAAGAAGAGGAAGACGGTAAAGATGATCTGGATAGGAAAATAATCGATTATCTGCGGCAGTTTAAAAGTGTTGAAGCCATTGAAGCGAACTTGGCGCAGTGCAAGAATCTCTTGCGAGGATCCACTGCGTGATTCGAGCGCCCAGGTATACTCGGCAAGGCAATGATGAAGTTGGAAATCCATAATACATCGATAATGAGGTTCGTGAACTTGTCACTGGGCTGTGCATGATATGGTAGACCGTGAAGCGGATTCTATCCGAGCACCGAGAGCTCATATGGACGGTCTCGTGTAAGAAGCCATTTGTACGATTCGCTTGGCAACGCAGCATTTACAACTGAGAACAAAGCGGCCTAAAACACTGGTTCAAGCAAAAGCAGGATCATAAAATAGACGACTCACGAATGCGATACTAGCATCCATGTCTCTGGCCTAAGCGGTTACAATGCTGCTGTCGTACTGACGGACAGCGATAGCACATTTTGACCAATCATGGCCACTGGAAAAGGGATCAGTCAGACGGCGGTATTCAATATTGAAATGAGGGTCACGAACGTAGGGGATGGAGGCTGGTGGCTTTCTGCTGGCTACTCGTCCCATGGCAAAATGGGGGTTTTATTCACAACTCGTTTCCGTAGACTGGATGTCGGTTCCCTGTGTGGGTATTCGCTTTCGAATTCCGTCTGCAGCTCTGATAAGACGGTAGTTCCGTTCTACCATGCTTGATGCCCCAGTCAGAGTCGCTGTAACCCATTGGAATTCCGCCCTCGACTTCAGCTGAAGATACACTAAGAGTGTTTCCGAGCTCATAAAACTGAGCCACCGGCAGGGCACTGATGGAGAAAGATATCGGTATCGCTCTAGGTATTGGAACCTAGACACCATCGAATTTTCGGTTCCGAGACGACTCGGAGACCCGAGATAGAAGGGCGTATGTGAATGCTGTCTGTGCGTTCCATTGCGAAAGAAACGGAAAGAGAGCCGAGGAATCGCAGGAGTCCATGGTTTCAACCAGGGAATGATGGGTTGTGAAAGAAAGAAAGGATGTAGAGTTGCATTTAGCATTTGTCGAGCATAGGTGCGGTGGAAATGGGAATCTTCCTCTCGTTGCATCTCTTTGTCGTACAATTGAGGTGAATTCGACCGAGAACAATGAATGACTGCGGACAAACTGTGGAAAATCTCTGGGTTGATAAGAATCATGTTGAAAAGGCCCTTGAATACACGATCGCAATATGTCCTACGGGAGCTCGTTCAGCACTAACTTAGAAGGCTAGGAATTGACGCACCTAGAATTGGACCATTGGTCTGAACAATTTCCCACTTCCTGCATCTCCAAGTCCACTGCCGATGAATACCGTGAAACTTTCTGGTTCTAAGACGTTTCGGGACCAACTCACTGTATCGACGAAGCCAGCTTTGGAGCAAAGTTGAAGAGCCTTTTGGGTCGCATTGAATTTGAGCACTGTGTGCCAGCATCTAGATAATAGGTAAGCAATGGAGGACGACGAGTGGAAAGAAGACAAGGAGCCCACAGAATCAAGGTCAGACGGGGACGAGGTTCCGAACCTGGCAACACCAGTATAATGCTCCAAATTAGCTCATGCAACCAACAAGTCCTGACGGCTGTGATCGAGGCCAGGGGAAGTTCGTCTCCTCGAATTTGCAGCATCGACTGAATGGCTCGCCAACGTAGTCGACCAGCTTCAGTAGCCCCCTATCTTTCACCCCGGCTAGCAGCGTCGTGTTGCAAAACATTGGGGAAATCGATTGGGAACAGAAGGTGAAGCTGGCTTCAGTGCAACATAGTGAGTATCCTGATACACTATCACGAGCTTGAATCCAGCCATTCACAGTTGTTCTTTAATGGATTCATTAGAACTCGGTCAAGGCCAATGAGGAAAAAGTGCACCGAACGGTTCGGTTCAGAAAGACCAATTTTGATGTAGCGACATTGTAGCTGGTTAGAGAAGAATTCGACGAGCTGGCGGTTGACGATAAGTAGGACCTTTCGCGAGCCTTGTCGGTTCGAGAGACTTGCGAGAGTTGAGACAAAGTTGAAGTGAAGATAAAGATTTCCACGGTGTTGATCTTATCAGATGCACCTCGGCCGGTGATCCGACTTCGGCCGACCTAATTGCGCTTTTCTTTTCTTATAATTATTGCACCCACCATTCTCAAGGTACATTCAAATAATAGCAATAAAGACTCGGTTCTTCTCCCATTGAAACTCTCTATCCATCCTCAACACGTCAATCTATCGAAAGGGTGCCGCTTACCAAGCACCTGGTCCGTGCGCGCTTCCATCATATAAAACGCGCCCGCTTTCTTCTGAACAACTCATACTTACCTTGAAGACACAGGCCCCTTCACATACCGGGTCTGTGGGCTAGTGAAAACCTTCATAGCACGGCGACCTTGTCCTCAGAGGGCTTTGCCAGTTTTAATGTCTCTAGGGGCATTAATTTTCTCAATATTTCCCTACCCACATCAGTCACTCTGACTGCGTGGGGTCTCTTTTTTGCTCCAGCATTGTTCTAACCCTAACCTTAGTTACATTCGATAGATCTGTGTAATTGATCGCTACTATTCAAATAGTGTGAAGCTTCATTATATGCTCTCTCTCTGTAACCGCTCTTTGAGGGGAGGAACCCTGTATAAGAGCAGTGGTTCCTCAGAGAGATGGGGATGCAGAGTCAAGGTCGCCACAAACCAGTAAAAACGGAGCCGCGAGAGAAGGAAAAGGTATACACCAAAGGGGAGTCGAACCCCTGCCGCTTGCTACATCTTAAGAAGGCTTTCTATGGAAGGCAAGCATGATAACCGCTTCACCATTGGTGTATGACAAGAGTATACGCATTGGTTCTTGTTTCTCAAGCCGGCGTGAACCGACCATGTGAACTTCGCAACAGGGCTCCTGGTCTGACAGTGATGTGGCATTGCAAAGATGACTTTGAAGGATCATTTCCCCGCCACATATTTTTCTCATTGTGAGGGCGACAAATGTCATTTTGTCGTGACCTGGGGAATGGCTCCGTTAGTAACAGAGCCGACGATCATGATCCCGCGCCGCAGTGGCGCAGCGGCGGGTCGTCGCTGGACAGCCTTAGCCATCACTGCGGCATTCTTCTGAAAGGTTTAAATGAACGAACACTCGAAACTACATTGTATCCAGCCCACCTTTTATCCGAGTTGAACTCTGAGCATCTCCGAGTCCTAGCACTCACACACACACTCTCGATATCATGTTTATTTCTCGCCTTTTTACTTTGGCAGGCCTTGTCGGCATGGTGTTAGGTCTTGCAGTCAGAACTGCTGACGCGACTGGGACCGTCTCCGCCACACCAACATCGACGCCAACTTCAGCACCGACAGGCGTTTTTTTGACAACAGAATTCATCACCATTGCTGGCCACACCGACGCTCACGCCACAGTCGCTGGGCAGACCATCACTCTTGTTCTTCCAACCTGTGTCATGACAGAAATTCCGGACAAGAATGGTTTTGTTCCCCCTGGAACTTGTCACGCCCTATACGATTATTACCCTTCGTTCGCGGCTGCAGTTCTGTTCTCCATTCTATTCGGTGCCGTTTCAGTTTTGCATATCGTTCAAGCTGCGAAATACAAGGCTGTGAGTCAATGGATTCTGTAATCTGAACATGAATCAGACTGACCTCTTTTGTTCACAGAAATTCTGCTGGGTTCTGATCATGGCCGCTCTCTGGGAATTCTTCTCCTTCGCCACTCGTTCTATCAGTACCAAGCACCAGCAGAGCGGGGGCTTGGCTTTGGTAACCCAGCTCTTCGTCCTACTTGCTCCACTTTGGGTAAACGCCTTCGACTACATGGTCCTTGGACGCATGATCCACTTTTTCATGCCCTCCCACAGCATCCTCGGGATCTCAGGATCTGTATTCGGAATCGTGTTCGTCAGCCTCGACTTCATCTCGTTCGTGGTTCAGCTCGTCGGGGGATCCCTAGCAAGTCCAACATCTCCCGAATCCCAGGTCTTCAAAGGGATCCACATCTACATGGGTGGAATCGGTCTCCAGCAGTTCTTCATAGTCGTTTTCCTAGTTCTTGCAGTGCATCTCCACAGACAGCTGCTCAAGCTCGAGCGCTACGGAACTGGAAAGAAGAACTGGAGACCTTTACTCTTCAGCTTGTACGCCAGTTTGATTCTGATCACCGTGAGTCACTTGCATTTCCTCAAAGTAACTCGCTAACGCGAAAACAGATACGCATCTTGTTCCGTCTCGTCGAGTTCTCCGCCGGAAAAGAGCCAGACAAAAATCCAATTCCATTCCATGAGGCCTACTTTTACGTCTTTGACGCTGTACCGATGCTCTTTGCCTTGGCCATCATGAATTTCGTGCATCCGGGATCCGTGCTCGTGGGTCCTGATGCGGAAATGCCCAGTTTACTATGTGGATGGAGGAAAAAAAAGTCTGGATGGAAGAGCAGAGAATTCGCGGTGGCGAAGGAGTACAAGATGCAGGTCGAGTGAAGGAACAAGGACATTGATAGCATCCGACTACGGCTATGTACCTGCCAAATTCCAGATCTTGATCGAAGAATCTTTGGTGACAGCGCCTCGGAGAGGTTTATGGTCGTCCTCATCATCGGTACCGTCTTCGGACTTGTCGTCAAGAAAGTGTCGCGAGCCAGCAGCAGTCAAAAGCCACGGCTGCAAGGGGTGGAATGCAACCGAACCAATAGCGTCTAGAGCCACCAGTCAGACCACGTACAACAGCGAATACTTTCAACTGACCATTTTGCGCTTTGAAAACGAGCTTGGGCAACACCACATCCGTCTCCAAGCCTTCTTTCGGATCTGCATTGAGGTCAAATATGCAGACCTGGCCATTCTAGAGAAAAAATACATTATTGAATGCTCGAAAACGAAATAATAAGTCGGACGCACCTGGTCTCCAATGCTTAAACATTTCCCTCCAAGATCCACATCAAACCTTCGTCTCTGGTTATTCAACTCTGTCTCCATTTTAGGATCATAAGCGTATATCCTCATAGGCGTCTCGATGTCTCCTCTCAGATCCCAACTATAGATTGCACTGATTCGTCGAAATGCAGCATAGAGAATGTGTGGTTGAGTTGGGTTGAATTGGAGCTGAAACAAATGTTAAACAGGGTCTTTTTCTCGTACGGACTACATACCTGGGTCACAGCAGCAGCAGGACCACCACCGAGGAAGCATGATGGTATTCCACCCTCCGTCTCATTAAAAAGCGCGATATTGTATTGTGCTGGCGTCAATGTGCCAGCTGCGAACAATTCTGATTCGTATGAGGGTGAGAAGGCCAATGCAGATATGATTCCTTCGTCACGATGAGCGAATGAGCATTGAGAAGGGACAAAAACGTACCTTTAAGCCCGTCCTTGCTCTTTTTCGAAGGGGTGGTAGGCAGACGCTGGCCTTCTCCAGGTCTAGCTACATCAAACACCTCGATAGCATCCTCGAACCCGCAATACAGCCTGGAAACCCAAGTCAGATGTTACAATAAGCCAGAAATGCACAGACGGACCTCTGTGCTGTCAAATTGAAGGCGAGACTGTGTGGACCAATCTGTCTTTCACGATGGTCGACAATTTTATACGAAGCTCGGAGCTGCAGAGGAGTAATCAGCATAAAAAATAGTCAGAGCATCTTTTCTGCTTACTCTGCCATCCGAAGCGTCAAGCAGCTTCACCGGAGATTCCCTGACCGAAGAGACGAAGCAAAACGAACCCGGATTGCTGGGGCTCGCGGTGGGATACCATATGAAGTCGAGAATCGGAGCAGGTTGGGGAATTACTCGAATCTGAGGCTGAGGTCCCGAGGTTTCTCCAAAATCCGGTGTAATCATCTGAAACGTCCTATTCTCGCATTGAGCCAGTAAGACAGCGCCATCTGGCGACCTTGTTAGCTTAACGTGATGAGCGACGATCAGGGAGGGATTTGCTTACCATTTTGCGACTCGAGCAAAGTTCCCAGGAAATTTATCGTCTTCTGTGAGTTCCAGACGTGAATGGAGGCTTGGGATGGCCCGGATGTCGTATTTTGGCGGTGACCAAGATGCCATGAAGGTGGCACGTGCGGCTTGCCTGCCACTCAAGTCTTACCGTCGGGCCTGCGATCGCAATATATCGCGCCGATTCCTCGTTTTCGCAAGCCTTTACCTCGAGAATCGACGGGGTCAAATCTACGCTCCTTGTTCATGTTTTTTTTTCGCTACAAAGTCTGAACCACCGTGGAACCACTGTGTCTCGTTTCCAACTCGTTTCACGTTCTACCAAACCGTTGAAGTTGTACCGAACGATCTTCTGCTCATATCGACCGGTTCTTCCGAGTCGGACGCTGCTTCTCAGTCTCTGGGTTTCAAATTGCTCCAAAATTCGGGTTTCAGCGGGCTGCGGCATACGCCACTACAAGCTATTCACGAAAACGTCGAGGCTCCACTTTGATTCAGACTATATTGTGTATTCACGGGAAATGTCCGTAATAATTCGAATACCGCTGTGCCCTCAAGCAGCGGCGATAGTAAAGTCCTCTGAGATATTTCCAGAGTCACCGAACAAGATGATCTCGTAGTCGCTGTCGGGAGTTACGTCAGGGACTGTGAGCTCGAAGAACCCGTCTGCAGCCTTGAGGTCGAACTCTGGGGTGAGACTGCCACCTGAAAATCACATTGGTGAGCACATTTATTGTTCTTCACATGAAAGTCTCAAACCTGAAGTGACTTGGCCAGCTTTTCTCAGAAGAATCTGACCACCGTTGGAAACGTTGGCTGGTTCGTTATCTAAGGACCTGATCGGGACGTAAGTATCGTTTACACCAAGTCAGATTGGAATGCAAGTACCAAGTGACATTGACTCTGGTTCCGATGACCCAGACGGTGCCAGCGACTGGCGAGGTGATCTTTGGGACCCAAACATCGTTAGCAGCACGCGAACCGAGTGCTGCAGCGTTGGCAGAGACAGCGAGAAGGGCAGAAAGGACGAAGCTCTTGAATTGCATGATTGAATAGGTGAGTCCGATGAAGGATGCTTTTTTTCGATGCGACTTGACCTCTTTATAGAATTCCAGGTCTGGTCATCGTTGTCCGTCGTGCGAGGACATATCGTCAGGCCGACTAGCGATGCATCCGACCGGTGCTATTTGTGGCTTCCCTGTCTTTGATCCTAGGACTGGAGGACACAGCACGGAGCATTATGACCGCAAGATGGTGGAGAGTGCCACTGGCATCAAAATAGATTCACCCTGAGATCCAGGTATTTCACGAATATCACCTCTATAACTTAGTAAAAGCTGTCTCCGGAACTCTGAGTACTTAATTTCCAAATGACTTCCTTACACATTTCAAGTAATAGTTCCAACGGGATTATATTTCTTTGAAGTGGTTTTTTACATGATATTCCGTCAAGACTCATCCAAGCTGATGTGGAATGACGATTGGGATTTGCAATGCTGACTTGAGATCAATTTCGGCTCTGAACCAAACAAAGGACCAAACAACGGCCTGCACCTTACGCGATCATGGACCCAAATATCAAAGCAGCAAAGTTGGTTTACTCTTTACTCGTAGAGATACGATCCTGAATTCTCGACAGAAAACGCAAACTCATAGACAAATCTCTCCCAAATGTCCTCCTCCAGAACCCCGAATTCGCCGAAGACTCGCAAATGTACCAAAGCCTGTTGGACATGGAGAGAAAGCTGGACTGGACGATGACTAGAAAAAGGGTGGAGATACAGGACGCGTTGGCACGAATACCCACCGTGAGTGCCCTCTTGTCGTCCGGTATTCTGTTGTTGAAATTCGGGATAGACGACCAGGACATT